CGGAAATTATTTCCAACAATAAAGTATTAGGCATCAAAATTTTATTAATAAATCATTAAATCAAATTTAATAAATTATTAAATCTGTATTTAGCAAAAATAAAAATGGAAAGATTTTGGTTTAAATTTTAAATTTAATAAAATTATCATTTTTATTTTAAATAATTTATTTCTTATAGAAAAGTTATCAAATCATGAAGTTATCAATCCGGATAAGCCCATTTTTTTTTTTACAAATCATAAAATTCTCAGTTTTAATGATCCTTTTTTTTTAACACATTATAGATCATAGGTATTATATTAATTTTACATTTGGATTAATCGTTTTATTCCATCTATCTTATTTTTTGAAATCCGGAAAATATTGGAACATGAAGTCTCGTGATATCGTATAGTTTAGTATATTGATGATAAATGATATGGTATAAATTACAGAATGATTAAATTACCACTGTACTATCATTCGATTCATAACTTTATTTGTAATTTCGCCAGCTACTTTAACATCGTTATTATCATCATATTGATCATCATTATCATCTTTATTATTATCCTTATCATCATTATTATCATCCAATATACATAAATTATCATCGGTAAGTGCCTTTACTCAAGTTTACAATAACACCATCATTTTCATCATTATTATTATTATTATCATCATCATTGCCATCACCATTATCCTTATGATCATCAACATTATTATTAGCTTATTTTAGCCATTTAATTAATATGATATGTTTAATTAATTTTTAATCAATGTGTATTTAATCAATATGCTATTTAATTAATACGCCTTATCATTAGCTCTATTTTAATTTTTGCTTTAAGGATAGTTTTTCTTTTTTTTGTTTTTCCAGAACTGAAAATTATGTATTCATATAAATACTATTTGCAGGAATTTTTTTTTTTTTTTTTCGGTGATAGTTTAATTACGAAAGACTAATTTTTGTCACCAACATATCATTGTGATAATTCATCTACAGTAATGACTTGAAGTTATTGAAACAAAAGTGAGAGAGTACTAATTATTCATAATTAATCATATTAATTGTGCATAAAAACAAACAACAAAGATTTTAAAGAAAGAAACAAATCATTTATTGGACAAAAAAAACAAAACAAAAAAAGGGAAGGTTGAAAATACAATTAGCAATTAAATTTGAAATAATAAGCAAGAATATCTTCATTTATTCAATATTCAAATGATTAATTAAAAGTAAACAATTTGAAGCAATTAATAATTTTCCTATTTTTTAATGCAAACTTTTTGATATTCGATAAGAAATATTGGATCGATGGAGTGAATTTAATTAATTAATTGCTTTTGAACTAAATTTTACAATATCATCGTTGAATTAAGTAAATTTACGAAATACTGAAACTTACAGAAAAAATTTAACTAATTAATTATTTCCAAAATAATTATCATCAATTAATGCTTTTTACAATTTCAAATATATGTTGATAATTTGTTTTAGAATTCCTCATTTTTTATCAATTTCCATACTTCCCACAAATATATTGTACAGTAAAAAATATATTTTTCTTTTCTTTTTCTTTTTTTTTGTTAGGAGAGAAAATTTAAAATAAGCAAAATTAAAAATGAAATGATATGCAAGATGTCGCAATAAAATGATCACGTATATACGTTTGTACAAGTGTCATTATCAGTACTACAATATGTGATATAAAATTATTCATTGAATTTAGTAAATAGAAAGTAGCAAGTAAAAAGTAATAAGTAAAAGTAGTAAGTGAAAAGTAATAAGTAAAGAGTAGTAAGCAAAAAGTAATAAGTAAAAAGTAATAAGTAAAAAGCAGTAAGTAAAAAGTAATAAGTAAAAAGCAGTAAGTAAAAAGTAATAAGTGAAAAATAGCAAGTAAAAAGTAATAAGTGAAGAGTAATAAGTAAAAAGTAGTAAGTAAAAAGTAGTAAATAAAAAGCAGTAAGTAAAAAATAATAAGTAAAAAAGTAATTGATAAAAGACATGTCCATTATTTGATGAAATATCAAAAAATGAATAATCGCTTTGCAACAAATTAAAATTCTATACAGTA